GACGTCATACCATCAATGACATCACCGGAAATACCCGCATAAATTATCAAGTATGAACGTTCAACTATTGCCGCATAAATTATGAAGTATGAACGTTCAGCTATTCCCGCGTAAATTAAAAAGTATGAACGTCCAACTGTATGTATGAGTGAGCAAGACCGTCAAGAAGAATCGTTAGCCGCACAATATGTGTTGGATTTTGATACGTCTCTTTTAGAGTAAGGGAGACGTACAAGATACACAAAAACGGCTCTTTTAAGAGCCACCAAATATACTAAAAGAATTAAACGAAACACTCGATTTCATATATTTATAGTATGCATCGATTAAGTTTCGCTAAGAGTCAATACCCCTAAAATGTGGACAGTATAGTGTACACTTTTCTGAAAATCAATACTCCCCACTCAATGAACACACACTCGATTTATCCTTTTCATAGTATGCATTAGATCAATGAAATAGCCTAAACATTTATAATAATAGTAATAAGTAAAAAAGACACGAACGTTATCGATAGAGTAAACGTTTGTTGTTAGACTTTGCTCCTGGGCAACAAACGAAGATGTCGTGACCAGTGCAAACGAAGTCCTCGCTAAGAGTCAGTACCGGTCTAACGTGTGAAAAGATCAAGTATAGTATACTCTTTGCCGAAAATGATTTCTCCCCATAGCTTAGCATTTAGTTTACTTCTCTGTGAAATACATGAGTTTTTTTCCCCTTCTATATTTAATTACTAATTAGCGAGTTGAAATGAACCATTATATGTATTATATGCAAATGTTTTTAAGTCAAACATCCCATGCACACACACGCACCATTTTGTCAGCCGTTGGCAATACTAGGGTTACAAACCCTTTAAGGTTGATTTGTAAAATTGGTGGTTCTTAAAAGAACCGGTGTTTTTGTGTTTGTCTTTACTGTTGTAGCCACATCGCAAAGGCCTTGACTTCGACTTTTGCGCAGTGTTGATAAGCGTTGCTTTCCAGGTGGTTCCCGCAGGTTTCTAACCAGATCAGTTGATCAAATAGTTTTTAAGCTTTGGGACAATTAAAGCATTCCAAATTTACGGCCGGAATACGGAGACTCGCCAGCAAGTCCCTTTCGTAATGTCCGCCTTTGAAAGCAATTGTAGAGTTTGAATCTATCTGTATTTCACGGTAGAAATTCTCTACAATTGCCTGCAAGTCCGAAATTTGAAATGCTTTAGTGCCCCGTGGCACTCCAAACGGGAGTTTATGTATATTCTTCTGGACGAAGTTACACGTTCTCTTGTCTTTCTCGTTGAGCTCGTTCCAGTGTAAACCAATATCGAAAAAGAACGACGAGGCTTCAGGGTCTCCGACCTTTATGACTCCCAACTCCTTACAGAAAAATTTCTTTCCAATTTGAAATCCGTCCATGTCAAGGATCCCAACGATGTCTGCTTTACACTGCATGTTGACTGATTGATTGTGATGTGAATTAGATTGTTTGAAACACTATAATCTGCGTTCTTGCGTGCGATATAACTATCGCGTGTACAAAATGTTAATCCATGTGTTAATTTATGCATGCAGTCAACCAACGCGGTAGCTTTGGCAACAACATTTTGCTCTTAAAATCAGTGCGATTTATATAGGGACACTTCTCAAAGTGTCCCGTAAGCAAGTCCCGGGCGTCCGTAGAAACGTCCCTGCGTCCCGTGCGTATGAGCACAAGCTCATAACTGCTCATGAGCACATGCTCATCTGCTCATAAAACTGCAATACTGCTCAATAGCAAGACATTTCTGCACAGTCAGTGCTAACGGAATAAGCTGCCAATTTTGCGGAAAGCAATTTAATCGTGGTTACAATCTATAAAGACACGAAAAGGAATACTGTCCCCTAGGTGCACAAGAAAGAAACATGTCTCAAACGGATAGCCAGGAGAGGGATTTTCAAGACGACGTTTCGATAACTTCAACTGAAGTGTCAGAAACTGAAGAGGAAATGGATCCTTGGATACCGTTAATAGAAGAAGCAAAGCAAATAAGTAATATAGCATTTGAGGAAATGAAAGAAAGCCTTATCAACAGTGGTCTAGATGAACAATCCGCTAAGGACAAAGCTTACTCTAATATTCTTCCTAAACTCCAGAAGGAACTGGAAAATATTTATATGGAGCGTCTCGTGTGGATGAAACAACTAAAGAAAGGTCCAGTTTATAAGAAGATTATGCACACAAAAAATGCACTTGTGGAAAACGATGATTTTGATCCAGAAGAAGCGTTAGAAGCAGCTGTTGATATGAGAAAGTTTCTTATAAAAAGGCTTTTAAAGGGTCACAAATTTGATGAGGAGAATGATGATGATGATGAAGAGAATGATGATTAGACTCGATTAATATGATTGAAGTCATGTATTCGAACAGTATTAGCACGTAAAAACATACCAGTATAGACCCAGCATGTAAATTGTGAGTCATTCAATAAATTGCTTTTTAATTACTTGTCTTTTCTTGTCATTTTTACATGGGTCAGGCGGGTACAAATCAAAATGGCAAAAACATGCGAATACGAAAATGTATACATTTGTGTACATAAACTTTGCAGTGTCTTCCACGAAAAATGTACACCCAGTCTTCGGGCCTAAACGGGTCTTATGAGCAGATGAGCATGTGGTCATGAGCAGTTATGAGCAGGTGCTCACACGTTCATGCAGGATAAGCATATGAGCATGTGCTCATGAGCAACTATGAGCATGTGCTCACACCCTCATCTTATAAGATTGTATACCCGACATGATTTTGAAAATTGAACAGAATCTATACGTAATAGTTCGGGTTTAAACGGGCCTTAATGCGATGTAAAATGCGAACTCAATGCGAAGACGCATGAGAAAAATGGGACGACGCATATGCATACCGATATCAAATTCCTTAGTTTAGGGAAGTAATATGCGATATCAAATTCCTTAATTTAACAACCGAGATGAAGGCGAAATTTCGTTTTACAGAGTATAGTGACCCTTCGCCTGCTGTAGAAGAACTAACCTTTATTACTAAACTAACGACTATTTACATGCAACTATATTGGATACTAATTAGAATATTACTAAGGTAACATGGAATATTAATGAGGACATTACATCCCTCCTTGTCACTAGTTAAAAAGTATCTTTTCTCTAATTTAAAGTAAACCTAATAATGCCTAGAAGTTTTAAATATTTCTCTCAAGATTGTCCACATATCTTAAGTTCAAACTAGTATCTACGGTAGAATAGTTTTTTTTTGTCTTTTCCTCGATCTTTGATTGTTCAAATGTTATTATTGTTATCTAGTTATAATTTATATACTTATCTATCATTAAACATCCTTAATTGATGGTTGTGACATAGTCCGTGAATCTTGCGGGTTGTCTTCTTTGTCGATTTGATCTTCTTAACGATTCGGTTATTTCATCTTGATTGGGATTAGCTACAGATGGTGGATTCTCAGTTTGTGCTTCGTTTCCTTGCTTTTCTTGGTTTCTTTCAGGGTTCAGCTCTGGTGGGATAACTTTAAACTGGGATGAGTTTCGCGTCACGGTCTTGAGATCATTACTAGCTATCACCATAGTCCCTTTCTTCTCTTTCACCACAAATGGGTTTGGGTCAAATGGCGTACTCAACTTGTTTTGCTTAGGTTGCTTCACCAAGACTACCATTCCAGGGCTAAGCGAACTTTCTCTTGCACGTGATTTGTTGTCAGCATACAACTTCTGCTTCGACTTCTGTTCAGCGTCTCTTCTTTCCATCTTTCTTTGTATATCATCATATATAACTCTTGGGAGGTCTGGTTCAGGTAAGGTCGTCTTGAGTTTCCTCTGGTTGAGGGCTTCACATGGTGAGATGTTTGTGGTGGAGTGGGGTGTAGCACGGTATTGCCGAAGGAATTTGTACAGATCTTGTTTCCAATTCCTCGCTTCAACAGTAGCAGTGCGTATGGACTTTCCGAGAGTTCTCATAAAGCGCTCAGCTTCCCCGTTAGCTTTTGGCCAACATGGTGTAATCCGACGATGTTGGAAACCCAGATGCTCTGCGAATTTCTTGAATTCGAGACTAGTAAACGGAGGACCATTGTCGCTTTTTAAGTGTCGGTATCACTGCTCTAGCTGATGTGGAAGTCAAGATTTCAACCTCTGGAAAACGACTGTATTCGTCGATAACCACCATGATATATTCACCCGAAGGATAAGGTCCAGCAAAATCGATGCACACTTCTTTCCAAGGACCACTGGGCAATGGGGTCATCTTCAGAGGTTCTGAGCGTTTTGAGCTTTCGGGTGTTGAAACTTGGCAAGGATGACAATTTCTTATCTTCTCTTCTGTAAGCTTGTCTATGCCAGGAAACCAGACTTTCTCCCTTAACAATCTTTTTGTTTTCACGACACCTTGATGCCCAATGTGTGCTAGATCCACAGCTTTATTTCTCAGCGTTGGTGGTATCACAAGGCGATTTCCCCTCAGGATTGTACCTTTATGAACTGTTAATTCTTGTTTGATCTTCGTGTACTCCTGAACTTCGGGGGTTGACCAGTTATCGGTTTCAATTGCCTTTATCACGGCTTGCATTGTTGGATCTTTCTGAGTTTCAACTTCTACATCCTCGATAGTCATGGCTTTTGGAACTGCATTGATACAAACATAGTTGGTGTATTCCTCTGCTACGTTCTGCTCTTGGACTTCCGAGGCATTCGGGTGACGACTTATAAAATCCGCTGGATTTTCTTCGTTTCTTCCAGGCCGGTAGAACAACTGACAATCATAAGGCATAAGTCTCAACTTCCATCGATCGATGCGGGTCGATGTGGATTTACTGCTCTTGAAAATACCAAGTAAGGGTTTGTGATCGGTGATGATGTGGAACTTTGAACCGTAAACGTATAGGTGGAAATGTTCAGCAGCCCAAACTACAGCTAGCATCTCTCTTTCTGTTTGAGAATATCTTGCTTCGACTTCACTAAGAGTGCGGCTTGCGTAGCTAACAACGTTTCCTTCTTGCATCAGTAGACCACCAAGTCCTACTGGGCTTGCATCAACAACGATTTCCGTCTTCTTTCTTGGATCAAAATACGTCATCACTTTATCTCCAGCAAGCGCTTCTTTCAAATTGTCGAGAGCCGTCTGTTCTTCCTCGGTCCATTTCCAGTCAACACCTTGCTTAGTGAGGCTTCGTAGTGGGGCTGTTATCTTGGCATAATCGGGAATAAATCTGGACACATACTGCGCCATTCCTAGGAGTGACTTCACTTCACTTGAACACTCAGGTGGATTCATAGCTTTGATGGCATCGATCTTCTTGGGATCTGGTTTAATTCCCTCCGCGGAGAAGATATGACCATAGAACATAATCGTCGACTGTGAGAATGAACATTTTTTTTCTTTTAGACGAATGTTATACTGCTTCAATCTTTCGAGAACTCCACGTAGGTTTGTATCGTGCTCTTTCTGACCTCTACCAAAGACAATAATGTCATCTGATATATTCTTGCATCCTGGTAAGCCGGCCAGGATTTCTTCGATAGCGTTCTGAAATATTTCAGCTGCTGCATTAATTCCAAATAAAAGACGTTTATATCTTCTAAGCCCAACGTGGGTGGAAAAAGTGGTAATGTTCCGACTTTCCGGAGATAATTCAAATTGATGATATCCAGACGAGAGATCCAGCTTACTAAATACCATAGCACCATTAAGATCAGTGATGAGATCGTCCACAGTAGGCATCAGATGCTTCTCTCTTTTCACCGCCTGATTAGCTTCACGCATATCAACGCAAATTCTCACTTCTCCCGAATCTTTTGGCACGACCACGATAGGACTTACCCAGGGAGTGGGACCATCCACTTTCTCTATTATA